GATGTGGCTTTTGTGCTACAAAAGTGCGTTATGTAGCCTACAGGCGAAAACCTAAATTTACATGTTGTTAAATTTAAGGTTTAATTAATCTTTTCAGGGAAAAGGAATGCATTGCTTGTATGTTGGTGATGCATGAGTTCTCCTGGGTCATTTGGATAACCATTAAGACAATGGAAGAGGTAAATTGCTAATTATTATGTGTGAAATTGCGGTTTTCTTTAAAAAGGGCTTTAGACTATGGATTCTACTCTCTTTTGATAGTTTCACAAGCTTTTTTCCAGTATTTAAGGAAAATGTTCAAAGTGGCTGCAATCTAGCAGGATTTATTTTATTTTGGTTTTAAAAATGCACACATAAAATTATTTTCTGTTACTCTAAAATACATTTGAATATTAGATAAAATCTTGGTGGTGTTTTAAATAAAAACAAATATTTGATTTCCTTATCTTTAAATTATTTTTATTTCTTTTTAAAAACATGTAGGTGTAATTTTAACAGAATATTGTCAAAAATGAATCAAATATGTTTTTTCAAGCAGTTTGTAAGGATATGGCTAACATTATTGGTTATGGAGGCAACTTTTTTTTTTTTTTTGAGGAAGATTGGCCCTGGGCTAACATCCATGCCCATCTTCCTCTACTTTATAAGGGACGCCACCACAGCATGGCTTTGATAAGCAGTGCGTAGGTCCACGCCCGGGGTTCCAAACCTGAGAACCGTGGGCCACTGAAGAGGAGTGTGCACTTAACTGCTACACCACTGGGCCGGTCCGGTAGATAACTTTTCTATTTTAATTCTCATCTTTTTCTCCATTGAAAAGAAGCACATTTTCTTCAGAAAATCAGCCGAGAAGTTTACTAACAAATATGAAGTGGTTGAAATTTCCTGTTGTTCATTCACATAAGCCAAAAGAGGCCTGTACTTAACGTGTGTGTGTGCGTGTGTGTGTGTGTGTGTGTGTGTGTTTGATACTTTGGGACATAATATGAATTTTATTTTAATTTTGATAAAATTCCTATATTAGGCAGCTTCTAAATAACACCTATCTATCTTCCTGCTATCTTTCAAGAAGATCCACATAGAATATTTATGTATTTTTATTTTCTTACCACTGATTCTGTAGTTTATTGTAATTTTGTTAAATCTATTCTAAAAAGGTGGAGGTCAATTACAGTACCTAATAAAAAGACCGGTACACAATAGGCATTTAAGCAATGCTGTTAGTGGACATAATATTTACCTATACACTCAGTCCAGCGAGAGATTAGTGGACATATGAAACGTCAGCATTAAAACACAAAAAGAAAGTCTTCTGTGACTATATATGAGTGAGTGTCTATCTACCTATCTATCTATAAATCAATTATCCAGATCTATCAATCCATCTATCTATCTCTCTCTCTATCTCCATATACATACATGTAATGAGGTTGTTCTATAGACTTAGGGAGAGAGGAAACCAGCAGCTCTAGTTAAAATCGGCTCTTTTTACAGTGCTGGCAGTCATAACTAGTAATCTTTACATTTGTTAGCCAGTTTCCGCTAGCATATTCTGCCTCTGGAAAAAAATCCAACCATTGGTCTTCAGATGCCACTATGTTTGTAGAGCACAGTAGCTGGTTAAGAACATTATGATTTTGAAAAGGAATTATCTCATATTTTACATTGTTGTCTTATTGGTTGTTAGCAAATGAAAAGTTGAACAAAGTAAAATAGGTATGGCTAAAGAGAATTAAACTGTAAACTACCTCATTTTGCTTACTTTAAAAAATTTGAACTAGACCATCAAATGAGAGTGTACCTAATCCCTCCTCCCAATTCACACCCTTCTCTACACGTGTATTATCAAGTTAGCTAATTAAACAGAATACACAAGAGATAACTTAACAATAAAGCTGACATTACAATAGTTCAAACACTACTCGAGAAAACAAAAGCTGTAAAAACTTAAAGATGAGCTAAGAAGGTATGATGACAAAAAAACTGATGCGATAGACTGAGAGTCATATCATTACATTCCTGAATTTATAGTAAACCAACTCATATCCTACTATGACATTATTCATAGAAATTCTCTCCTGGATATAAAGAGCAGGCTTTGAAAATGCAATTTAAAGCTAACCAGATAAAAAATGATCCTTTAAGTGATTTTCCCTTAGGCTGTAAATTGACTTGGGAGCCATTCTATGTACCCAAACTCCAGGTTAAGACAAACGTATTTTTCAAATTCTTCTCAGACATTCTGTTTCTTTAAGGGTCTAATTAAAGTCACTTTCACGGCATTTACAAACAAGTAACTCAGAACATAGCTTTTGCTGTCTGCTGCTGCCACTGTCAGAGGGTTCTAGGGTTCTAATCTTGCTCCTCACTCACTGGTTATCAGATTTTGGTAAAGCTACTTAAGTTTCTAAAAAGAGATATATAACCTTGTCAGAATTAAAAAGACAATTAGTGTAAATTGCTCAGCGTGGAGTCTTGCACATGTTACTGGTCATGTTACTCCCTAATTACAACCGTCTCATGGACCCTCAGCATCTTCCTGAGCCCCAGTACCCTTAACATGGCCAGAAGAGCACCTCTGTTGTGGCCCCTGTAGAACTCGCCCCTGTTCTAACTTTCATGTCTCCTCACTGTAGAAACACCAAACTATTTGCTCTTCTCTAAACTTTTCACGTGTCTCAGGCCTCAGTGTCTTTGCTATTCCTCAACTCCTCCCCTTTCGAGAACGAGCCCCAGCCTCTGACCCTCCAGAAACCTTCTGCGATCCACGCATGCTGAATTAGGGCCTCTTCTCTATGCTCTCACGGCACCCTTTGCATATCTTGATGCTAGGACATGTCATTCAATCTTCTATTTTTTATTTAAGTTTTCATTTTTTTCCCAGGAATCTAGACTATAAATTTTGTGAAGGCAAAGGCTGTAGGTCTTATTATTACTTTTTATCCACAGAGCCTCACACAGAGTATAGCATATATTAAGAATCCTGTACATTTTTCGTTGAATGAATAAACATTGCACTGGGTCACTGGTGAGTATGGGACCTTTCTGCTAAGGAATGTCAAAGTACTTATCTTTTATATAACTTCTGAAAGAATTCTAGTCCTGAAAGTACGATGAGTTGAAGTTTAGAGTTACAACCAAATCAGATTTTTAATATTTAGAGCAAAACTTATTTTTTTTAATTAGACTGATTGTCTTGTCTACAAGTTCCAGATGAACACAGATGACTTATCTAGATTCAGCCCTATGAGTTTGCCTGAGAGTACATTCTTGACTTAATACTCAGAAATGCCACACTTTTAAAAAGTTTGGTGAATTTCTTCATCTGTGAAATCAAGTAAGAGAACCGAGCTGCAGGGATGCAATAAACACAGCGTGGAGGAGACAATGACGTGACTCTTCCCGGGACCAGACTTGAACGGCACTGCGTCCGTTGGCTTTGCACCTATAGGCTAAGGCTTGACATGGGGTCAGGAGAAACACGGCCAACGGGGTACAGGATGGACACTTCTTTGGATATTTTTATATTGCTTTCTATTATGGAATTATGTTTGTGATAATCATACTCTACTCCCAATAGTTTCATCTCTAGCTTGAGAAGTCAATAGTCTCCAGCAGGATTATAAATGACTATCACTGGTATTAAACACCCAGGTTACAAGTACTCTTTTTATTCATTAGTTGACTCTCTCTCCCTAAGCTGTGTTCCTTCTTAATTAAATATGTCAGTGCTTTTCCACTTTTTAGTTAGACATAGTTGTAACGAAGAAGTTCTTATGGATCGATATTGTTCATCAATGTAAAAATAACAACAAAATACTCCTGTTATAGAATTTGAAACCCAAGTAGTTTCACTTTGAGGGAGTGATAAATGGAGGAACTGTGGCCTACTGAGTGGTCTCACCACTAGCATATTATAATAATTCACATGAAAGGAATCGGCAGGATAGTGAAGTAGTTAAGGAGCACAGGCCTTGGAAGAAGACAGACCACAGTTTCAAATATTAGCTTAGCTCCTCACCAGCTGCATGAATCTCGACAAATTGCTCATCTTCTCTAGGCTTCTGATTTCTCATAAGTAAAATTCGGAAAATAATTCTTGTCTCATTGGATGTTGAAAGTTTTCAATGAATAATACATGTAAAATACTTCACATCCTGTCTGGCACTTATTAGAAGCTCACAAACTGGTAGGTATTATTATCGTTATTCATAAAGAATTTTTATAATAAATTTGCTATTCTTGAATTCTTATATGCATATAGGTATTTTAGCAATGATAGGAGCAGATTTTTAGTATAATTAGATATTTGGACATTTCCCCATAGAGGTACACAGCAAAAGCCACCCACATTATTCTTATAAAGAGAGCAGTAAGATGGATCTAAGAGTCAAGAAAGAACTCAGTGGTAGAGCTGGGTTTAGAACGAATCAGACATTTCAAAGCCTATGTTACATGACGTTGGAACACCTCACTCCCTTCATTTTCCGTTTTGGTTTGCAGTACGTTGAGGCTTTGGAATAAACCTGAGTTTTGCATCAAGCCCCTGCATCTATACTTAAGCTTACAATGTGTATTTCAGTGGAGTGCGTCTCCTGACCACTGTTTTTATTGATCGAGATACCAAGCCAAAGCTGCACAGTTTTCAACTAACTGCTAAAATCAGTTGCCCGTGGCTTTACTCTCTTCCAAGTTTTCCTTAGTAACACACCGTGATGCCAAGACTGGTGAACAATTAGGCTTCCACGACCCACTGAGACTCTACGTTAGAGCGCAAGTGATGAATTCTGCATAAAGAGACATATTCGGGCCACATTACAACTGCAGTAGTGGAAGGTATTTCATGGGAATATTTAAAGATAACACCAAAATATTAACTGCAAGGACTGTATGATTATTTACATGAACAGAATCCTGTTTGATGAGACTATTAAAATTTTGCAACATTAGATTTTTAACCATCAGGTCAGATTGAAACAGTACTAAATTAACATCTTACTTTATGTCCTCGTGTGAAACTTACTTTCATCTCCTGTCTCAAACTCAAACTTCTGGCTGTAGCCACTGTATCCTGTAGCAGTCCTCGCCCGGATATGGAATACGTACTTGGTGGCTGGCTTGAGGCCTGTGATGATGACACTGGGGGCCTTGGACCTCGTGGAGGAGTAGGTGAGCTGCTCCTGCTCCTGGGGACAGAAAAGAGGAGAAAGGAAATAAAGCAGAGTTACTCTCCTTTTTCTAGAGACATTCCAAAGTTAAACTGAGGAAGTATGCTATGAATATCAAAAGTATTGATTAAAAGGAGGTGTAAGCATGGTTTCCCATAATTTAGCACTTCGTTATTTATCATTATGATGCATATGATATGGTCTTGATTTGGATATTTATTAAGAGAGATGATTAATCTTATACAAACTGTACTTGAAGTTTTGGTGATTTGGATTTCAGATCCAATTCTAAGTAATGGTGGTGGTGCGAGAGCACGTTGACACAGAATGGCGCTGCGTCTTAAGCAGAATGGGCACATCAGATCAGACCACACCAGCAGAGTGCAAGGAGCAAGGTAGGGGTGGATTCAAGTACTCGCTACTCACTTCTACCCGCAGGTAGTGCCAAAATGCCGGCGCTATCCGGGGGTAGACCTGTGGGTGAAAGGAAAAATCAATTAATTGTTTTTTAAAGTTTGAAATCTTTTATCCCGAATCAACTGCTTTGTTCTGAACCTCGGTGATTCCCCAGTAGCAACAACTGAAATTGAGTCAATTTAAGACATAAAACGATGAAAATTTTCTCTTGAGGGAGAACTGACTCCTCCCCCCAGATACCACAGTTTATTTTTAAATTAGACGCACATGTTACACAGTGATTGTGAGGTGGGTTTTAAAATGGTCTGCCCAAAAAGGTGCATCAAAGACACAGAAAGGTATGAAAGACCCAGCATACCTGCGGAATCTGAGGCAGGACTGGAGGCTTGGGTCCCAGTCACCGGCAGTTAACTACACAGCGACTGCCCCCTAACCACTCCCACTGGCAGAAAATAGATGTGCCTCAGATAACAGAATGATCTAATAAGCCAGGGTCTTGTAAGAGGGCTCTCTTGCCCCCACGTCAGAACAGGGTTGTTCATTTCACCTGTGCATGTAAGAGACTGTCCACAATATGCTGGAGGTGAGGACAAATTAAACTTATACCGTTTTTGTATAGCATTGTTGTCCAATAACTTTATAATGGTATTTTAATAGATTATCTGAAAAAACTGTATTTGTATGAACAACTCTTCTAAATTCACAGGTCAAATTAGGCCATCAGGTCCTTAAGTTAATTCTCCACTGTTCTCATTATAAATCTAAAGATAAAGATTCTCAGGGATGGAAGTGACTTTCAAGGTCATTAACTGAATCACTCATTTGATGCTTAAAATCTACCTATAATATTCCTATCAAGAATTTCATCTAGCCTTTGCCTAAAATCTCTGTTGTTCAGGAGATCTTATTAATTAACAAATGAAATTATAAAAATCTACACATATGGAGAATGTGTCAAACTTCATTTATTTGCTGGCGATGCTTTAAGATTTAGAACTATGAAAATCATTTCCCTTAAGCTACTTTTGAGAAAAGAAATACGTATCTTAAAGATCATTTTTAAACTCTATGGCCTTATTTGTCAGAACTTTATACGCTACATGGTTATTCCATGTCTAGCTGAGGAATTGAATTTGCCATCTATACCCCAAATAACAGAACTGTTTATTAAACGCGAACTACAAAGAAAAAATGAGTTAATAACAGCAACATTTTAAATAAAAAAGACAAAACAAACTGCAGCTTATATCTAGGTAATTTCGAGATTAGAAAGTAAATAAACATCCACCTAGCTAAAATCCAAGGAAATAAAGTTTATAAAATCATTGATGGCAGTAATCATCTGCCAAAGGCTAAAAGAAGGGGCTTTCTTAGATCAAGGCCTTTGGCTTAACACCCCTATTGTGGAGAAAAAAAATGTTTGTGTACTATTACAAGAGATGATATTATTTCTGGTAGAAATTTGCAAAATATTTTGCATTGTTCAATCTCATATACAAGAGGAGAATATTCCACCTTTCAGAGAATTTTTTGAAACATAAGAGTTATGGTATATTTTGAGTGGTGTTTCACAATTTGAAATGATGATTGAAAGACGAAGTTTAAAGCCCTGAAAAAACAATTTAGTCTTATCCTCAAAGAGAGAAGATACAGACTCAAAATTTACTCGTAGAATGGCTCCATAATAATTATACATTTTGTCTTTGTTGCTTCACCAGAACATAGCTAAATAGTAATTTCTCGCCCAGTAAATTACAGGGAGTAAAAGACACCTTTTGCGAATAACTCTTAGCACTTCTGCTGTCATATACAAAAGTATATCTGCAGCACATCCCTGGAACAAAAATCCTCAAGTAGGAAGTGTGCTTATGTGGTTCCTCAAGCCGAAATCACAGCAGCGTGGAGGCTGCTGCCTTACATCTTGCCACCTCTGAGCCTGCCAAGGAGGAGGGCACAAAGAGCAGCAGTCAGGAGAGCTCCGCCTCCCAGCATACTGCAGCCCTCTCTCCTCCTGCGGTTTCCAAGCTCTTGGGAAGCCACTGAGCACTCACTCATAACAAGCATAGGGCACTATTGTCCCAGAACTTTGGCTAACTGCCTTTCTGCTGACATATCAACTCCAGGTAGAGACCTGCTTTGCCACAGAGCTATCTAGATTTTCTCATTCATCCTGGTAGGCTCAATTATGAACAAGCTCGAATAGGGTGTGTGTGCAAGTTTTTCTGGAGTGTATCCTATAATAGAATTGCTAGTTGTATGACACCCACATCTTCAACTTTGCTAGGTAATACATCCCATGGTTCACAAAACTCTCCTATAAATTCTTTATCTTTGCTAAATCCACAGCAAAATCCTCATCTTATTCTTAACATTATTTATTTTTGTATTTTCTTTTTTTCTTGATCAAGCTTTCCAGAGGTCTGAACCAACTTTTGGCTTTATCTCTCTATTGTTTCTTTGTTTTCTGTTGCATTTAATATCTGGTCTCATTATAAATTATTTTATTTCTTCTTTGTGCTTTGTGTTATGTTCTCTTCTAACTTCTTATGTTTCATGCTTAACCCATTAATTGTCAGTATATCTTTTCAAATATAATTTAAGTCTACAAATTTCACTCTAAGTACTGCACTCCTTATACTCCATAAGTTTGCATATGATATAGTATCAATCGGTTTACTAATTTCCAAAATATATGATGCTTTGATTCTTTGTGGCAGATCCAGGATTACTACTTGTACACTTTTACGGGTTGAGACAGGTTGTCAGGCAGTAAATAAATGGCACAAGGTGAAGCTCCAAAGGCATAACCCCGTCGGCTTCAAACACACTGACTGTGGGGAGGAGATGCTCATTGCTGAGAGCACACAGTCTTTCGCACTAGGGCTTGTTGGCTGAAAGTGAAACAGCTTGTTGTACTGCCTCTCCTTGGATGAGCACAGATGATAGCACCAGTTGTGGGAAAAAAATTCAGTGACAATGCACTTTAATATATTGTTATGTACATCATTTCTAAAATAAGTATATATACAATTTCTATTTTATGTATTTGTATCCACATATATTAGAGAAATAGTTCAGAACCAGGTAGCGTGAACATAGGGCATTGTCAAACAGAACATGCATGTTTTATTCTCTAGAGATGTTGACCTTATTTGTGGTTCTCTTCCCATGGGCAGACCCTGCAGCTTAGATTAAAACATTACTCCTTCCCACTTGCTAAGTCTAATCTTACTGTCACGTTGAACCTTTCATTTACCTAAAATACGGTATCTAGCTTTATCTCTTTAGGTGTCAAATCTTCATGGTAACTAAAAGGGATGTTCTTCCTAGAGCTGGACCTTGTTAGGATTCAATGTGGAAACTATAACTTAGTGAAAAGAAGTAGGCTCAGGTGCCCCATCCCTATGGCCGCATCTTTGTACAATCAGAGCTCATCTGGCCAGACCCACAGCAGGCAGCATGTAGAGAATTCTGGGTTGGAATTCTCCCGACTTGTGCTTGATCTTGGTTCTACTTCTATCATGTGCCTTGATAAGTCACCTTCAAGACTTTGACTGACTCACAGAGAAATTCCTTCATTCCACAGACATTTCATTGAACGCTCATTATGTGCAAAGTTCTAGGGTATTCTAGTAGATTTAGCTTACATAATCACCAAAGTTCTACCTAAGCAATTAAATTTTATAATTATTTTTTGTCAGAAGTACAATTCCCCTCTCTTTTACTGTGACTCATTCTCATCACTCCTCACCTCCCTCTCCTGGGTTTGCCATTCCCATTGATGAAAGGAGATTCACAAAGTGGGCATCTTTTAGCTGGTTTACTTTCTCTTAAAGTCTTGGGGTTTAGTGGGATTTCTGTAAGATGTTACCTCTTTGTTTTATTTTTTAAGTTGTAAATTAATTGGATTATATATGTGATTGAAAACTATTCTGTAGACTTTTTTTTCTTCAGATATATAGATCTAAAAATATATCAGCAATCATGAGATAACCATGATTTACGCAATGCTTTACAATTTAGAAGGTGTTTTCACACACATTCTTTATGTGATACTCACAACGATCTTGTGAAGTAAGAAGAACTGGTGATATTTTTATTCTCACTCAGCACATGATGAAGCTGTTCAAGAAAGAACACGAGACTTACCAGAGCAAGTCACACAACTAGTCAGCGGCTGCCATTCAAGTTCTGCTTTTTCACTAGAACTGATTTAGGCAGATATGTCCAGGGCAAATATGCTCATAGATCAGATCTGAGCCAAAGTCATTTCTTTCACACTTTATGTTCTTGATCATCTAATCACTAGAAGTAACTTTAAACGTAAGACAGCCCATGAACCAGACAGTAATGATTTGATGGCATTAGAAGACTTTTATAGAAATAGTTCCTCTATGGCAGAAACAATTCTCAACACCGAAGATGTTCCTGGAAAGGACAGGCTTCCCTAAAATTAATACATGGACATTCCAGGGGTTGGCCCCGTGGTGTAGCAGTTAAGTGCACGTGCTCTGCTGCTGGCGGCCCAGGTTCGGATCCCGGGTGCGCACCGACACACCGCTTGTCAGGCCATGCTGTGGCAGCATCCCATATAAAGTAGA